CAATGTAAAGTTATATGTAATCTAGTGTAATAGAAAGAAGATTATGATGATAATAAAAAAAAAAAAAGAGGTGGAAAAAGAACATATTCTAAATCTAGTGTCCTACGTTAGCCTTCTGGACAGCAGAATGGTCAGGCCAGGGGTGCAGGCAGGTCCTCAGAGCTCGGTACAAGCATGCAGACATTTAATCATGGGCATTTCTAAGGAAACAAAAAAACCCCAAAAGTAATGTCTAGAGAAGTCTGTAAGCTGCTTTCTCTGAAGACTGGAGGACTGACTGCTGAGAAGCTTTCAGAAGTTAAGACTCAAAACATCTTCAGTTAAAATAGAAACAGCAGATCAAAGAAATCTGACCGATTTTCCTGGTCTGTCATTGGGATGTCACAAAGATGTCTTAATGTAAATTGTTGTGGAAACTAGCAGATGGCGTAATGGTTACTTCGCTGGACTCCCACTTAGTCAACCACAGTTTGAGTCCCAGAACTGGCAGCTTAAAACTCACGTTTGGAGCATGTGCACGCGTGCCCAAGATCCCACAAGGAGACTGGAGGAGAAGGGATCGTAGCGTGGCCAAACCTGGGGGAGGAGGTGATTTCTCATTTTCTATCTCTGTCTCTCCAGTGAATGCATGTATCCTATAGCAAAAATCTCTCTTAAAAAATAATAAATAAATATAGCCCTCCAACCCAAAATCTAGCCAAAATCCATCCACATCTGATGTGAGCCCAGCTCTGGTCCTTTAACTGAAGGGCCTCTGCTCCAAATTTCTCCTTCCAGCCCACGCTTAGCCAGGTAGAGCGGCCTGTGTCTTCTTTCTGTCTCTGTCTCTGTCTCTCTCTCAAAAACAATTTTATATATATTTTAAAAATCTGTAAGTACTGTCTCTTGTCTCTGACCTCTCCTTTATCTTGCTAATTTCAGAACCATCTACATCTGAGGTGGGCCCGGCCTAACTTCTGTTGCATGCCACCGGTTTTTATTTTTTGCCTTTAAAAAAAATTTCTCTCTCTCTCTCTTTTTTCAAAATTTTTTTTTTGGTCTTGTTCCCTTTGCTTTCTTTTCATTCACTTGACTTTCTCACCTTTCTTCTCAACTTTTACACTCTGAATGTCTAGACAGGTCTAGGTGCATAGGAGCCAAACATCTGAATCCTTTCAGGGTCACAGAAATCCTCAACTCCCATTGAACAACCTGCTGTGCAAAGGGAGAAATTCATCTTCATAAATCTGAACTCAAATCTCTTTCTGTGGTTACCACATTGCAAAACACAGTAGTGGAGAGAAATTGGCACAAAAGTACCTCACAGTAAAGTGAAGCATGGGACCTTGCAGAAACCTCCAACAAAGTAGCCAAACATGAATTCACCACCAAATGACTAAAAATCAGAGAAGACAGTGAGCAGCAAGGAGAAGGACAGAGCTGCAGAGAGAGCACAGTTCATCTCCGCCCACACACCTATGAATTCTCTGTTGAAACCCTGCAGCTCGGCCTGGGTGCACCTGTTCTTTAGAAACTGTGAGGTCTTTGTAATATTTAGTTCCAACGACAAAAGTGCAGGTTGCTTGGTGAGGATCAGGGAAGCAGAACTACAGAGATGTGGGTTATCTCCTCCCACATGCCTCTAATACTCAGAATTAACTCCAAGAAATTAGGATAAACATATAATTCATCAGATGACCAGAAACCACTGTAGAGGCACTAGAAATATGAGAAACCAAGAATATATCTCTACCCCAACGAAAAGAATAGTCACCCACAGGCAGAAGAATATATCTCTACCCCAACGAAAAGAATAGCCACCCACAGGCAGTACAATGGAACTCGTGGAAATGTCAAATGAAGAATTCAGAATTTTCAGAGTGACAAAACTAATCAAGATGCAAGAAAAGAGAGAAAACAAACTCCAGAAGATACAAGAGAAAAGAGATGAGTTCCAGGAGATGAGGAAGTTCTTCCATGATTCCAATATTTGAATGAAAAAATACACACCATAAAAAAGAATCAAACAGAACTGTTAGGGATAAAGGCTGTAATACAGGAAATCAAAAGCTCCCCCAAAAGTATTAAAAACAGATTAGATCATGCAGAGGTTGAATCTTGGTTGGAGAAAGCAAAAGCTCTGTCTTAGAAAAAAATCACCAAAAAGAGAAAAAATCCCCCCAAATGAGAATAAGATATGAAAAATACAAGATACCGTTAAATGCCCAAACATCTGGATCATCAGTATCCCAGAAGGTGAAGAAACTAATAAGGGCATTGGTAATCAATTCCATGAAATCCTAGAAGAAAACTTTCCAACCTAGAGAGGCATTCAAATATTCAGATCCAAGAAATACAAAGGACCCCAAGCAGAATTAACCCAAGAAGATCATGTCCAGGGCACATCATAGCCAGATTGACAAAAAAAAAAAAACCACAAAGAACAGAGACAATATACTAAAATTGGCAAGAGAGAAACATCAAGTTACTTAAAAAGGATATCCCATCAGGCTAACGTCAGACCTTCTCATCGAAACAGTGCAGGCGAGGAAAGAATGGGAAAATATATTCAAAGTGTTAAATGAAAAACAATTTCAATCAAGAATACTATATCCGGCATATGGGAAGAAAAGATAAAAACATATGCGAAGAAAACATAAACATACGGGAAGAAAGATAAAACCATATGAGAAGAAAAGATAAAAACCTTCTCAGATAAACATAACCTGAAAGAATTTACCAACACCAGATCAGCTCTTCAAGAGTTTCTGAAGTGAGGAAAACTAAAGACAGACAGACAGAAATCAGAGAACAAAAAATGACCCAGAAAATGGCCAACTTAATGGTAGGGACAAATCTGGAAATATCAATAATAATGTTGAATTAACCTCCAACATTTAAATGGAAAGAGCAGACCACAGTAACACTGCAAATTCAGAGATTAATTAAATGAGACTGAACTGGTGAAATAGAATTTTATGACTTTTGACTAAAACATGACTGATTTTCTTCTATACTTTGTCTTCCTTCCAGATTTAAGGATTTTTGTTTTGAGTTGTTGATAGTTTCAGCAATTTGTTAATTTTTTTTTTTTTTGAGAGGTTTTCGCTATAGGGCGCGTGCGCTCACCAGACAGACAGAGAGACAGAAAGCGAGAAATCACCCCCCAGGGGGGATAGTCATGCCGCAATCCCTTCTCCTCCATTCTCCTCTCGGGATCTTGGGCACGCACGCACACGCACCCGGCGTGAGTTTTAAGCCACTGGGTTCGGAATGTGAACCGCGGTCGACTACGTGGGAGTCCAGCAACATAGCCATTACGCTAACTGCTGGTTCCCAGCAATTTGTTAATTTTTAAAAATTGAAATATAAACTTTTCTTCCATCTGCAATTGAAAAATATTTGTGAGCATTCTTATTTTGTGACAGAATGGTTATTTGCATAAGCTCAACAATACAAACAATACAGTAGTATCTGTTGCATTGCATCAGAAATTGAATTCTTATGGGATTTTGTGCAAATAACAGACCAAATTGAGAAAATTAGAAAAAACTTTTTTTTTTTTTTTTGAAAATAAGTCAGTTTATGCCTCTCTTTAGTAAAAGGGATAATGGAGAGAGGAAAAAATGTTTCGGAAGAAAATTACAGTGCACTTGTTACTAAATTTTAGCTTTATTCATATATTTAGTTTAAGTAAGATCTTTTGTGAATCAGTAAAATGTGAAAAAAAATAGTATGAGAGGGAGGGAGGGGAGAGGGGATGAAGAAAAAAAGTAAAAGTGCATTTAATTGACAAAAAAAGAGAAGCTATTTGCTGATGATAATGTTTACAGTAACGTCTTTGTCTTGACTGATATGCATGGTATTAGTGCTAGATTAAGAAATGTTGTACACTGTAGGTGGGATCAGCAGTTACCGTAATGGCTATGTTGCTGGACTCCCATGTAGGCGACCGCGGTTTGAGTACCGGACCCCGTGGTTTAAACTCACGTGTGTGTGCGTGTGTGCCCAAGATCCCAAGAGGAGACAGGAGGAGAAGGGATTGCGGTGTGGCCAACCCCCCTGGGGGGTGGTTTTTTGCTTTCTGTCTCTCTGTCTCTGTCTTTTTGGCGAGCGCACAAGCCCTATAGCAAAAACCTCTCCAAATAAATAAATAAACTGTTGTGATGCTTTGTATTCAAAGCCAAGTTGACCAGCTTTTGTTAGTAGGGTATACGGAAACTGTAAGTTTAAGTTTAATGAGGCTAAGTCAGAAAAATTGGAGAAAATTTGGAAACATTAGACTTGAAATTTGAGATACTGGATGAAACAAAAAAAATCCAGGACCTAATTTAAATAATAAAATCTCAAAAACTGAGAATCTGATAGCGTGTGACCTAGTTGTCTGGGGTTTTTGTTTGTTGTCGATGCTGTTGTTTTTCTGAAACATAATTTTCCCTCTTCAGTCCCTCCCTTTACCTAAGATAAACACAGTAAAACCAATTTACCTGCAAACAATTTTAGTCTCAATTGGGCGTAAGTGTGACTATTTGCACAAAGTGTAGCAAGAATACTGGTTGACTAGGTTGGCTCTTCTGGAAATTTTTCATAAGGAACCTCAGATTACACTCTTTTTTAATTGCCATAGGGCTTGTGCACTCACCGTAGACAGAGACATGGTGTGTGTGTGGGGGGGCATTTTCCCATGGAGTATGGTCACACTGCAGTCCCCTGCCTCCATGTCTGCATCCCATCAGGACGTGGGGCCTGCACTCCAGAACTACACTGAATGGGAGTGGTGAGTGTGGGCTCTCGTCTTATTCCTGATTTAGAGGACAAGCTTTTAGTCTTTGGTCACTGGGAGTGATGTTTCCTGTAGGTTTTTCATAAATAGCCTTTATTAGTTGAGCTAGTTTTCTCCCATTTCTAATTCGTTGTGTGTTCTTTTCATGTAACTTAATTTTGTTTATCATGGAAGCGTTAATTTTTTTTCAGATGCTTTTTCTACACTGATTAATATAACCGTGTGTTTTTTATTTTAGTCAGTTAGAGTGTTGTATCACATTTATCAGTTTGACTATGCCGAGCCTTCTGGAATCCCAGCTGGGCATCTTCCATGAGCATGGTATGTGATCTTTTAAAAAAAATTTTTTTAATAATTATTTATTTAATTTATTTATGTATTCATTTATTTATTTCTTAATTTGACCAGAGAGAGACAGAGGGTGAGAGTGAGAGAGAAAGGAAGTGAGAAAGCAAGCCACCAGATTCAGGACTCGAATCCTGGTCGGCCACGTGGGAGTGTCCAGTGCCTTAACCTCCACGCCACCTGCTGGTCCCATATGTGATCTTTCTAATGTGCTCTTGAATCCCTTTGCTAATATTTTGTTGAGAGTTTTTGCCTCTGTGGCTATCAGCAATCTTGGCCTCTTCTTTCCTTGTCACATCCTTATCTGGCTTGGATCGGATGGGAATGCTGGTCTAGTAAAATGAATGTCGAAGTCTTCTGTCCTTTTCGATTTTTTGAAAGAGTTTGAGAAAAATTGACATGAATTCTTTTTTAAGTGCTGGGGCCAAGTCACCTGTGAAACCATCTGGTTCTGAGTTTTCCTTTGCGGGAAGGGTTTTGATGACCAATTTAACTGCCTTCTTCATTTTCATCTGTCCAGATTTTATACATCTTCTGGTTAATTTGTTCGCTTCTTCTGTTATCCAGTATATTAGCATATACTTTCTCATAAGATTCTCTATGATTCTTGGTATCTCTGTGGTATTTTTGCAGCATCTCCTCTTTGTTTGTAATTTCGAGTCCTCTCTCTCAGTCTAGCTGAAGTTTTGTCAATTGTGTTACTCTTTGAAGAAAAAACTAAATGTTTGTTTTGTTCATCCTTTTTATTATTTTTATTTTTAGGTTTACTTCTTTATTTTTTCAGAGATAGAGACACAAAGAAACAGAGATGCACCCCCAAGAGGGTCTTCTAGCCACGGTCCGCCCCAGCTTCAGTTGGCCTGGATTGCAGGCACGCCTGCATGTGCTGGATTCAGGTGCTAACCACTGTACTACCACCTGCCCCCAGGTTTTTTCTATTGCCTTTCCACTCTTTATTTCATCTATTTCCATTCTAATCTTTACCATTTCTTTCCTTCTCCTTACTTTGGGCCTAGAGTGTTCTTTTTTCTAGTTTCTTGACTTGTAAATTTAGGTCATTTATTTAATATCTTTCTTTTTTCTTTTCTTTAAATTAAAAAAAAATTATTGCCAGTGAGCACCTGCTCTTGCCAGAGAGAGAGAGAAAGAGAGAGAGCACACCCCCTCAATGGGACATGGTCATGGCATAAACCCCCCTCCACTTCATCCTGACAGCACACACAGGCCCAGCATGTCCCTCAAGCCACTGGAGCTGGCACTCGCGTGGCAGCTGGCCACATAGGATTTGGTTTTCCACGTGCAGCACCGCACCACGGCACTCTGGGGCCAGCCCTCTCCTTTTACTGTGGGCCTGCACTTATTACTATAAAAGCCCTTCTGAGCACTGCCTTTCCAGCATCCCTTACGTTTTGGTATATTGTTTGCATTTTCATTTCACTTAAGGTACTTTTTATTTCCATTTTGATGTCTTCTTTGGCCTATTGGTTGTCCAGGGTCATATTGTTTACTTTACACACACAAAAAATATTTTTGGAGAGGTTTTTGCTATAGGGCATGTGCACTCACCAGAAAGACAGAGAGAGACAGAGAGATAGAAAACGAGAGATCACCCCCTAGGGAGGATGGCCACGCCACAATCCCTTCTCTTCCATTCTCCTCTAGGAATCTTGGCCACGTACGCACACGTGCCCGGTGTGAGTTTAAGCCACCGGGTCTGGGACTTGAACCGCGGTCGACTACGTGGGAATCCAGTGACATAGCCATTACGCTAAAACTGCTGGTCCCACTTTCCACAAATTTTTGAATGTTCTGAAATTCCTCCTATTATTGTTTTATAGTTCTATATCATCGTGGTATGAAAAAGTACTTGAGATCACTTTGATCTTCTTAAATTTGCTGAGACTTATTTTGTGACCCAACCTATGATCTCTCCTAGAAACTGTTCAGTGTGAGTTTGAGCAGAAGGTGTTCTGCTGCTATTGCGTGGAAGGTTCTAATTATGTCTATCAGGTCCACTTGTCGAAAGTGCTATGCAAGGCTGCTCTTTCCTTAGAGGTTTTCTGTCCGCATGATCTAGCCGTTGTTGAGCATGGAGTATGGAAGCCCCTGCTCTTTCATGTCACGACTTCTCCCATTTACGTTTACTTTTGTATTTAGGTGCTCCAATGTGTATTTACATCACTATTATCTTCCTGGTGAATGTACCCCTTTATCATCATATAGACCTTCTTTGTCTCTTGTGGTAGATTTTAACTGAAAGTCTATTTTGTCTGATATAAACAGAGACACCCCTTGCTCCCTTTTTGTTACCATCTGTGTAAAATATTTTTTTCTGTCTCTTCACTTTTAGTCTGTATTCTTAAGCCTAAAGTGAGTCTCCCATAGGCAATGTATTGATCTTGGTTTTTCATCATCTCAGTCACTCTGATTTTAGAATTTAATTCATTTTTGTGAAAGTAATTATTGACATATAAGGATTTACTATTACCATTTTGTCGTTTGCCATTTTAACTGTTTTATGGTTCTTTCGTTTCTTTCTCCTAAACTTACTATCTTCTTTTGGGATTTGGTAAATTTTGTAGTGGTATTCTTTTATATTTTCTTTTTATCTTCTGTATATCTACTAAAAGTTTCTTCTTTGTAGCTATAATGGGGCTAACATAAAACATCATATCATTATAATATTCCATTTTAAGCCGGTTAACAACTTCGATCATGTTAAAAAATTTCGAACTTGGGAACCAGCAGTTAGCATAATGGCTATGTCACTGGACTCCCACTTAGTCGACCGCGGTTCGTGTCCTGGACCTGGTGGCTTAAAACTCACGCCGGGCGCATGTGCATGCGTGCCCAAGATCCCAAGAGGAGAATGGAGGAGAAGGGATTGCGGCGTGACCATCCCCCCTGGGGCGTGATTTCTCGCTTTCTGTCTCTCTGTCTCTCTCTGTCTGTCTGGTGAGCGCACGCGCCCTACAGTGAAAATCTCTCCAAAAAAAAAAAAAAATTCGAACTTCCCCACATCTTATGCTATCCGCATCACGCTTTATGTCTTTTTAATTTTGTGTATCTACTAATTATTTTAGCTATAGTTTAAAATTTTTAATACATTTTAAAACCTTTTAATAGAGGTATAAGTAATTTACATATCACCAGTATAGTATTAGGATACTTGCTCCCCAGAGGGCATGTTCACTCACTAAAGGGAAAGCAAGAGAGAGAGAGAGAGAGAGAGAGAGAAAGGGAGAGAGAGAGAGAGAAACATCTCCCCCACAAAGGGACATGGTCATGATTCAGTCCCATTTTCCTTCATTTTCTCATCCCATCAGGGTTTGATACACATGAGCACGCACACGTGTGCGCATGATGTCGTTCAAGCTGGGGCTGAGAGTTGAGCTGTTTGCCACGGGGTATTTGATTCCTGATACACTGCACTTAACCACCGTGCCACGGACCCGCCTTCAAGTATTCCGGATTTGACTGTCTGCTTTACCAGTGAGTATTACACGTCTGCATCTCTTATATAGCAAACATTCTTTCATTTTAACCTAAAGAACTTCCTTTAAATTTTTTGGTAAGGCAGGTCTAGTCGTGATGAATTCCCTCAGCTTTTGGGGATGTCTTTAGCTCTTCATTTCTGAAGGACAGTATTCTTATTTGACAGGTGTTTTTTGTTTAATCATTTTCCTGTTTTTTTTTTTTTTTTTTTCTTTTTTTTTTTTTTTTTTTTACTTTTATTTTTCTTATGATTAGTGTTGTCAAGTCTTTTTCAATAGGGCTTGTTGGCCATTTGTTTATCATCTTTGGAAAAATGTCTATCCGAGTCCTTTGCCTATTTATAAATTGGGTTATTTGATTTTGTTGTTGAGTTGTAAGAATTTTTTAATATACACTTCATATTAACCCCTTATCACTGACGTGGTTTGCCAATATTTCCTTTCCCTCTTTGGGATGCCTTTTCACTCTGCTGATTGTGTCTTCTGTCACGTAAAAGTTCTGAAGTTTGCTGTTGTCCCACTTGTTCATTTTTTAGTTTGTTACTGATTTTTGTGTCATATCCAAGAGCTCATTGTCAGAATCGTTCTCGAAAAATCTCCCCTGTTTTCTTCTAGGAGTTCTATAATTTTAAATCTTATAATTAGGTTTTGGTATACCTTGAGTCAATTTTTACATATGGTTTTAGGTAAAGATCAAACCTTATTTATTTATTTATTTTTTTTGTATGCAGATAGCCAATTTTCCCAGTACTATTTGTTGAAAAGACTATAATTTCCCCAGTGAATGGTCATTTGTTAAAAATAATTTGACCATGTGTGTAAGGGTTGATTTCTGAGATCTCGATTTTTTCCATTAGTCTGTTTGTCTTTTGTTTGTTTTTAGTTTGCTATAGGTCATGTGTGTTCACCAGAGACAGAGAAAGAAAAAGTGAGGAATCACTCCTTAAAGGCAGATGGCCACGCTGCAATCCCTTCTCTTCCATTTGCCTCTTGGGATTTTGGTCACACATGTACACGTATCCAGCATGTTTTTCAAGCCAAGTCCGGGACTAGAACCTCGGTAGGCCGTGTGGGATTCAGCTGCCTTAATTACCATGCCACCAGCTGGTCCAGCCTATTTATCTTTGTGGCAGTGCTACACTTTTTTTGACTATTATAGCTTTGTAAAGTCGTTTGAAATTAGGAAGTGTGAGTTCTACAACTTTTTTTTTTTTTTTTTCCAAAACTGACTTGGCAATTCAGGGTCCCTTGAGATTCTATATGGATTTGAGAATACATTTTTCTATAGCTACAAAAAAAATACCTTTGGGATTTTGACAGGGATTGTGTTGAATCTGTAGGTCCCTTTGAGTCGTATGAGAATCTTAAGAACCCGAGGTTTTTGGATCCATGAACACAGGATGTGTTTCATCTGTGTTTTCTTTAATTTCTCCCAACAATGATTTAGTGTACAAGTTTTTCATCTCCTTGGTTAGGTTTACGTTTTAGTATTTTAATCTTTTTGATGCCATTGTAAATTGAGTTGTTTTCTTAATTTCCTTTTGAATTGTTTATTATTAGTGTGTAAAAATGCAACTGATATTCATAAGTTGATTTTTTAGTATTTTAATCTTTTTGATGCCATTGTAAATTGTTTTCTTAATTTCCTTTTGAATTGTTTATTATTAGTAAAAATGCAACTGATATTTGTATGTTGATTTTTGTACCCTGAAAGTTTTCTGAATTTGTTTATTAGTTCTAACAGTTTCCTGATGGAATCTTTAAGGTTTTCTACGTGTAAGATCATGCCATCTGCAAAGAGAAACAATTTAATTTCTTCTTTCCAATGTGAATGCCTGTTTTCCTTTTCCTTGCCTTTTTGCTAGCTCTTCCAATATCCAATAGAAGTGATGAGAGTAGGTACACTTGCCTTGTTCGTAATCTTTGAGAGAAAGCTTTCAGTCTGTCTTCACTGTTTTTTCAGTCTTTCACCATTATGAGATGTTTACTATGTTGAGGTAGCTTTTTTTCCCCCCTTTTCTAGTTTGTTGAGTGTTTTTATTATGAAAGAATGTCAAATCTTTTCGAATGCCCCTTTCTTCATCTATCGATATGATTATATCATTTCTATCTTTTTTTTTTCCTGCTGACGTAGTGTATCACATTGATTGATTTATGTATGTTGAACCATCCTCAAATTTCAGTGATACATTTTCACTTGGTCATGGTGTATGATCCTTTCTTTTTTTTAAATTATTTTATTTATTCATTCATTTATTTTTTAGTTTGAGCAGAGAGAGACAGAGGGTGAGAATGAGAGAGAGAGAGGAAGTGAGAAAGCCAGCCACCAGATTCAGGACTTGAACCCTGGTCAGCCATGTGGGAGTGTCCAGCGCCCCAACCACCATGCCACCCACCTGCTGGTCCCAGTATGATCCTTCAATATGCAGTTGAATTCACATAAATGTGATGGATTTCCATGTCAATATTTGTCTTGAATATTGGTCTGTAGTTTTGGGGTTTTTTATAGGTTTTTTTTTTTTTTTTTCTGGCATTAGTGTCAGGAAAATGTTGAGTCCATAGAATGAGCTTGGAAGTTTTCTGTCCCTCTGTAATTCTCTGAAAGATTTTTCAGTAGGATTAAGGTTCATTTTTCCTTAAATGTGTGTTGAAATTCTCCAGCGATGCCATCTGGTTTCAGGCTTTTATTTTTGGAGTTTTTTTGGTCCTGGCTCAATCTTCTTATTTATAGTTGGCATGTTTCAGTTTTGTATTTCTTTATGATTGAGTCCTGGTAGGAAGTATATTTTCAGGAACTTATCCATTTCTTCTAGGTTTTCTAATTTGTGGCACACAATTGATCATAGTATTCTCTTATAATCCTTTTTATTTCTGAGGTATCAGTTATAATATCTCGCCCCTTTACTTCTGATTTTAATTATTTGAGTCTTCTTTTTTTCTTGGGCACTATAGCCAAGGTTTGTCCATTTTGTTAACCACTTAAGAAACCAACTGAGGGAGGCAGCCATAGCCTAGTGCTTGAGGCAGCTGGATCCCACATGATTGACTATGTGGTTTGAGTCCCATACTGGGCAACTTGAGAAACACCAGGCATGTGTGTGTACATGCTCAAAATCCTGAAAGGAGAGATAAATTGAGGAGGAGGGATTGTAATGTGACCATGCCCCATGGGAAGAGGCTGTCTCATTTTCCCTCTCTCACTTGCTTTGTTTTGAAGAATTATTTTATTTAACTTTATTATTTACTTATTTTAATTTGACCAGAGAGGGACAGAGTGCAAGAGAGAGTGAGAAAGCAAGCTGCCAGGTCCAGGACTCAAACTGTGGTCAGCTATGCAGGAGTCCAGCACCCTTAACCACCAAGCCACCTGCTGACCCTCATCTCTCACTTTTATCTCTTTTTCTCCAGCCAGTGCATGTACCCTCTGGAAAATTAAAACAAAAACAAAACCCAACTCAGTTCTGTTTATTTATTTTTTCCTATTCTATAACTCATTTACCTTTAATCTTATTTCTCCCTTCTGCTAATTTGGGGTTAGTTTGTTCTTTTTCTTGTTTCTTAAGGTATGTTCTTAGTTGTTGACTAGAGATTTGTCTTTTTCTTTAATATGCACATTTATTGCTATTTAGGTTCCCTCTTAGTGCTGTTTTCACTGCACCCCATGAGTTGGGTTGTTTTGTGTTCATTTTCATTTACCTCAAAATAGTTTCTAATTTCTCTTGTGACTTTTCCTCTGGCCCTTTGGTTGCAGAAGAGTGTGCTGTGTCCCAGCCACGGTGGACATGGTGCTAAGACACTGCTCCACAGGCTGGGACCACATGCGAGGCCTGGGCTCAGTTCCTGGTCCAACCTAAGTCTGGGGATGGTGGCACGTCGAGGTACAGATTGATATAGTGAGACCCTCTCTTTAAAAAAAAAAAAAAGAAGATTAGGACCACCAAAGACCTGCCCAGACTTCACCCTCCTGCCCCCCAGATCCCACCAGGAGCCAGATTAGAACAGCCTATTTATTCTCTCTGTCTCTCTCTAATTTTTTTTTTTTTTTTTAATTTTTAAACTTCTCAGCTCTCTACTGCTCTTTTGTCTTGCTAATTCTTATCTTTCCTCCGCCTCCACAGGACAAGCCAATCAGCAGCCATCTATATCTGAGTTCTGAGTGACCCCATTTCTGCCTGTCTGTCTTTTGTTTTTCTGGTACAACACTCCCTTCAGACCTTCTTGGAGAGCTGTTCTGGCCTTGGTAAATTCTTTCAGGTTTTGTTTATCTGAGAATGTTTCAGGCTTTTCTTCCCATATGAAAGGATAATCTCGCCAAATACAGTATTCTTGGTTGAAATTGCTTTTTCCTTAACACTCTGAATCTATTTTCCCATACTTTCCTTGCTTGCATTGTTTCCAATGCGAGGTCTGATGTTAGCCTGATGGGATTTCCTTTGAAAGTAACTTGACATTTCTCTTGCCAATTTTAGTTTCATGTCTTTTTCTGTGGTTTTGGTTAATCTGGCTATGATGTGCCTTGGAGAGATCTTGGGGTTGATTGCGTTTGGGGTCCTTTGTATCTTTTGGGTCTGGATCTTTGAATGCCTCTCTAGGTTTGGAAAGTTTTTTTCCAGTATTTCATGGAGTAGATTATCAATGTCCTTAGTTGCTTCACCTTCTGGGATACCAATTATCCAGATGTTTGGGCATCTGATGGTATCTAGTATTATTTATTATTCCATTTTGGGGGGTTATTTTCTCAGTCGTTTTGGTGAATTTTTCTAGGCCAGAGGTTCTGTCTTCTACATCTGAGATTCAGTCTTCTGCATGATCTAATCTGCTTTTAATACTTTAAGGGAAGGTTTTGATTTCATGTATTATAGCCTTCACTTCTAACAGTTGCAGTTTTGTTCTGTTTTGTTTTTCTTTTGGAGAGGTTTTTCGCTATAGGGCGCATGCTCTTGCCAGACAGACAGAGAGAGACATAGAGACAGAAAGCGAGAAATCACCCCCCAGGGG